TTAGCACATAGATAGCAAGTCAGGCTCAGGTGTTTTGCTATGGGAGAAATGTAGTATTTTATTTGCCAGAGATTTTTTTTTTTTTACTATTTTTAGCATTCCTGCCATTTAGAACCAAACATTCATTTGAGAATGCAAATGTTTGCTTTTCCAAAGTGTTTCAAAAGTAAATCATTTCTGACAGAAACACTACACATAGCAATAAAACTACTTTGGCAACTGCTAATTCAGAAGTTTATCTTCATTTCCATTTCCTTTTAATGCAACAATCTGCTTCCAAAACATTAATGTTCAACTGTCCAAACAAATGACTAATGCTTTACTTACAAGGGTTTGCATAAGGAGGAAGGAAAATTTTTAAGTGCAGAAATGCAGGTAGTTCCTTGTTGTGGAACTGCCTCTGATGACATACGACAACAGCCATTTGAAAAACTCACTAAATGTACTCTTTGCACCAGTACAATATTTAAGCAGGGGAGGAAGGAGGGAGAAGAACAATATACTGACGGTCTTGCAAAAAGTGCAGCTTGCAGGCTCCTTGACTATCCAGTGAAGTTAAGGAGTGTATGGTTAGTGAATGGTTGTTAGTGTATGGTTAGAGTCTTTGGGTGAAAATGTGATGTTTCCAGCACTAGGAAGTCTGAAATAGCTGCAAATGCCTCTTAGCGGAGTCCCTGGAAGCGTTCAGGAAACGTGTGGATGAAGTGCCCAGGGACAGGGTTTATCAGGCAGGGTGGGGATGGGTTTACACTTGGACTCTTGAAGGCCTTTTCCAACCATTCTGTGATTCTGTGTTGCAATAGCCTTGCAACAGAAGCAAATAAATCTAAAAAGGGGGAGTTGAAGCATTCAGGGGGGAACATAGTTTAGGGCAATGATTTCAGCTGACGTGATAGCCTTGACATTGGATTAATATAAAATGTAATGTAAAGTAAACATATTAACTTTGATTCTGATGTTATGTTTTCATCTATCATGCAAGCAGCTGATTAAAATCATTACATGCTTCCATATGAAAGAGATTACAATCAACTCTCTTAATCTTCAAATTCATCTGCCAATTATTACTTATATATGTCACAGTCATACAAGATAAAATACAAACTCATATGGTCCTTGAAATTGTCATAAAGAGAGACAGGAAGATCTTGTTCTGTCAGTGTCCTAGTAAAAGTCATTCCAGTACAAACAGTAGTGTGAGATTTTTTAAGTGTTCCATCTGACATTTATTATGTCAGTAAATCCTCTTATCTTTAAGATTAAACTGCATTTAGCATTCTGATCACTAATGCAGGGGCTGTTCTGGATCGGGAAGGAAGGGAGTGAAAAAAACTTAGCTGAATCTTAGGAGGCAAAATTCTTTGGGTAAAAGCCACAAAAAGAAAACTCACTATTCCTTAGTTTGAAGGAGAAGGAAAGAATCGAGGCATTGCTGAAAAAAGCAACATTGCTGAGGTTCAATAAGGACAAGTGCAGGGTCCTGCACCTGGGTAGGAACAAGCCCAGGCACCAGCACAGATTAGGGGTCAACCTGCTGGAAAGCAGCTCCACGGAGAGGGACCTGGGAGTCCTGGTTGACACCAAGTTAACCATGAGCCAGCAGTGTGCCCTCGTGGCCAAGAAGTCCAATGGGATCCTGGCTGCACCAGGAGGATGTTGCCAGCAGGTCAAGGGAGGTGATTCTGCCTCTCTGCTCAGCTCTGGTGAGGCCACACCTGGAGTATTGGGGGCAGTTCTGGGCTCCCCAGGACAAAAGAGACATGAAGCTCCTACAGAGGGTCCAGCGGAGAGCGACAAAGATGATTAGGGGACCGGAACATCTCTCGTATGGTGAGACACTGCGTGAGTTGGGCCTGTTCAGTTTGGAGAAGAGAGGGCTGACAGGGGATATGATTAACATGTGTAAGTTCATGAAGGGAGAATGTAGGGAGGAAGGGTCCAAGCTCTTCTCAATGGTGGTAGTGACAAGGCAAGGGGCAATGGGTGTAAGTTGAAACACAGGAAGTTCCATCTCCGTGTGAGGAAGTCAACTTCTTCCCTGTGAGGGTGACAGAGCCCTGGCACAGGCTGTCCAGGGAGGCTGTGGAGTCTCCTGCTCTGGAGATCTTCCAAACCTGCCTGGATGCCGCCCGTGCCCCGTGCTCTGGGTGTCCCTGCTGGAGCAGGGGGTTGGACTGGATGATCTCTAGAGGTCCCTTCCAACCTTAAACCATTCTGTGATTCTGTGATTCTGTGATTCTGTTGTCCACACTCCAAAGTTTCATATATAAAAGCATAAACTAGATCCTTGGCTGTTTGTAAGGATCCTTGGGAAGAGATTCACAGAATCACAGATTCAGCAATTCTGTACAACGAAAGGCCCCATCCTGAGCGCTATCCACCTGTGACTAGTTTCTTATTATGCTATTATGCCTATTATACTTATTATGCTAACCAGGGAGGCAAGGCAGGGGGGCTTTCTTGAAAAGTGGAAGTTGTCTTCTTGTGAATTTCTCTATATGTATATATATTTATATGTATTAAAAAAGCTGTGTGTCACAATTATCAGAAGAGCAGCCAACAAGAGGACTACCACTCCCCTAAAATTTGCTTTGGCTATAGACATAAGTGCAGCTATTCTGCATAAGGGCAAATAAAATTACTTGCTCTTAATGCAACTGAGGAGAGGTTCATGCGCAAAGCTGCTCCTGCCTATGGCTCAAAGAGGTAGATAAAAGAAGAGCAGCGGAGAGCCTGTGAAAGTGTGTGAGGGAAATCTTCAATGACAGGGGCTATTCGAGGTCTCCTATTGCTAGGAAGGTGAAGCGCCCTCCCAACATTTAAATGGATGGGCAGCATGGCAGATATCTTTAAAAAATACATTGTTATTCTTTGAAGGTATATTTTGGAATAGTTCTCCCTAACATTAAAAATGAAAAAGAAAAAAGGCTCATGGATTGTTTTAGAACATATTATAATGTTTAAGTGAACTTCATACTTTTTAGAGCTTTTTGGAGCTGGTTACAATACCATATATGTATAATCTGGGAGGCAGTCCAAACCTAGGCACAATGAATTAAGCATCCAAAAATGTGATTGCTATGAAGACTTCATT